ATAACTCAGTCAGTCATGACCTGTTAGGCCATTAGGGCTAGAGCGTGCCATAAAACATACATTCCACATGTAGATATTTTTCATACAATTCATAAAGTTCAGCAGGAACTGGGCACATTAATATTAGGTATATATTTGGATAGATCATTTTAATGTGAGTCAAACAAGGACTTACTTGACTATATTGGCACCTAGGATGGGGAAGAAAGCAGTTTCTTCCCTCCTGGGTGACAAGGGTACACTGTGTTTTTGTTATCTCTGGGTTTGAAATATAATTCTGAATATTAATCTGCCAGTTGCTAGGATGCTACCTGTACCTATTGGAGGTTATTAACCTTAGTATGAAGTTGTAAGGCGACTTGGTCATAACCTTGGTTACCGCCTAGCCCCCATCCCCAAACTGGATGATTGGTCATTTGTTCTCGGGCGACACCCTTTTTATTATGATAGAAAAAGACTGACAGGCTGGGGAAAAGACAGCTCTCATTTACCATCAATCAGGAAACATCTAACGGAGAGCCAAGGCAATCTTTTTGTTCGGACAATTGGACTCTGCTTAAACCAAGGACATTGCAAGTATTCTGCCTTCTGAACTCCTTTCTTTTAGTTTTCTGTTGTTTTTATTGTTCTCTTTATATCTTGGTAACATCTTTTTCTGTAAATATTTTAATTGCACCATTTTGACTTTGTTTTTTTTTTTTTTAGTAATAAATCCTATTTTGAAAAGTGTTTTAAATTGTCTCAAAAGCTTTTAATGCAAAAATCCCTGTCTTTTGAAGAGTGCTACTGTATGTAATAACCCTTTGAATACTTCTGTCTGTGGTAACAGCAGTGTGTATTACACATGCTTATGCTCATATCATAGTGGTATTGCTAGCATTTGTGAGTTTCCTCCTCTGTGTAAAAGAAAAAAAAAAAAAAAAAAAAAAAGGTAGTGGTGGCAGTGTGAAAGGGTAATTGTGTAATTAACCTAACCCAGTAACGAGCGCTCTCAGGCTACCGGCACAAAGATTGTAGTCCCGCTAGCTGGAAAATCTTTGTGCAGGGCGCAGCTGTGAGTGGCATTGTTATGCAAGTGACAGCGTGGTGCGAGATCGGCTGGTCATTCTGTCATGAGTTGGTGAGAAGGGCAGGGGTCGGACGCCGCGTTGTCACAGTAGGATTACAACTTTTTTTTTTTCTTTTTTTTTTTTTTTTTAAATGGTTGAACTGGATGGACTTTTGTCTTTTTTCATCCCGACTAACTATGTAAACTAAAGTGTTCTTGTAAACCACAAAATACGCTTTCATTTATCCAGAGATCAAGCATGAATCATGAGAGCAATTGGCAATCCAGGTTTGCACCCCCTTCTCTGGCATCCAGCATCTATCACCATCACCCATAGACTCCTTACTTATGCGTTATGCCACGTCCCACATGGCTTCATCAGAGGATCCTCTGATGTCTCAAAAAATCCCCAAGATGTCCTTCAGGATCTCAATGGATGATCTCTAAGCTGGAGCATGAGAGTTCAACATGTGTGCCCCCCTTTTTTGCTTAGAGGAAAGCATGCATCACTGGAAGTTTCTGTAATCCCATATGGTCAGCAGACAGGATTCGATAGGAACCTGCTGCAGATTTTCATTATAGTAGATAGTCAAAGTCCTCCTTCCACAACTGAGCTGCAGTCTTCTGTGGAAGTTTCCTCTGATTCCTGTCCCTATCCTCAATCAGTCAAACATTCCTAGTAGTAGTAGTAGTAGTAGTAGTAGTACTAGGATTCTTACCCTTTTCTCATCAGCAGAGGATTCTACTAACTTAAGGGGTAGGTTATATGCTTCTTAGAAGCATATGTTGGGAAACTAGTTAGGTAGGTTTGTTGTGGTTTTATAAAACCAACAACCAACAATGAGTTCTCAGGGTTGAGACGTCACCCTCATTCTTTAATTTCTGCTTCATTGTCAGCACTCCCTCCCATTCCTTGCAACAGCCACTTGCTCACACAGTGGAGCCACAGCTTTGGGATCACATGACTGCGCCAAAGCAGATTTAAAAAAAAAAAAAAGGTATTTATGTAGATCTATTTTACAGATGATCTACAGCATAGGTAGGAGAATGGGGGAGGAAGCATTGTAAACCAACTTACTGTATATTAGCCTACACTTCCACCTTAAGCCTTTGGCTGTTCTTCCTATGTTCAGCTTTCCCTTAGAGATCTCTTTTGCTGAAGTTTGCCTTAGTACAATTTGAAAGGGATTTGTGCCTCTAATGACCACTGGTAGGTTCCGGCCCCCTTGTTGGGCCCAAGAGACTGTTCTCTGCAAGAAATAAATCCACACATGCACACCAGCTTCCAAAGAACAGTCTAATCTTTATTTATAATATTCCTCCTTATATATGATAAATTGTAACAGAGAATCATAGAATGGAATTTTACTGGATACTTGTCAAAGCTGTGTACGTGAATAATTTAGGTTTCTCAGACCTTGAATCAGTTACAAGAAACCAACAGTTATTTTCCCATGGAGCAGAAATGGTTAACTTTTAACTGTATCATAGTAGAAACAAATGCTGTTAGTACAAAGAAATAACTGGATACTTTCCCTGCCTCTACCAAGGCTAAGCTAAGATAAAAACAAAAGAATGTGTGAGCACAGTTCTGTAACACATAACTGACACAGCATATTTTCTTTAACTCATTCTGGGTATATTATAAAAAACAATTAATCAACATGGAGTACAAGATATAAAATGGAGGGGGAAAACAAATGACAGACAAAAAGGACATACATTCCCCTTCACAACTGAGTCTCCTCTAAAGATAGTGTGCTTTTGTTTTTTTGTTGTGTTTTTGATGTAAGGGGGGTAGGCTGTGATTGCAAGAGACTGTTATGTAAGGGGGAGGTTGTATTTACAAGGGGGGCTGTGGTGTGTGTGTGTTGGGGGGGCTTGAATGCAAAGGAGACTTATGTAAGGTGCGCTGTAATGTGAGGGGGAGGGCTTTGAATGAAAGGGGGACTATGAAACTATCAAAATTCACTGAGGTCCAGTTAGTAAAATTTATTTTCTGCAGCGTTCCGAACCCTATGTTGTTCAATGACTCAGATCCTTCACATTACAGCCCTTTTTTACATCACAGTGAAAGGGACTGTGATGTAAAAAAGGGCTGTAATGTGAAGGATCTGAGTCATAGAACAACATAGGGTTCGGAACGCTGCAGAAAATAAATTTTACTAACTGGACCTCAGTGAATTTTGATTTAGTACCCCAGAATATTGGTAAAGTATCATTTGCAATGGGGCCAGCAATTTAAAATCTGTTTTGTGGGATTTTTCCTCACTCACTGCACTTTTTTTTTTTTTTTTCTCAATGGAGTTTGTTTGCAGGGGCTTGTGTTTCTTTATGTAGTCTCTTAAGTTCTTCTATTTGTGTATAACAGAGATGTATATACAAGGCCCAAGGTTGTGGTGTGGAAAATGTTTTCTAAAGTACAAAGCAGATCCATGATTATGAAGGGTAAGCAATATCATAGTTAAAGGGTTGTTCCATCCTGAACTGATATTTCAGTTTTTGGTAGCTCTTTGAGAGAGAAACAACCTGACAGTTTCTTGTATCTCTGGCTATCTATAGTTGAGGTATTTACAGTTAGGTTTGCGAGCTTGCACAACTACTATGGCTATTATGAGTGTGTCCCAAAATTCTGTTGTAGTTAATTTGAATTTGTACCGTATTTTCCAGCGTATAAGACGACTTTTTACCCCTTGAAAATCTTCTCAAAAGTCAGGGGTCGTCTTATACGCCGGTATACGGCATACTGACACTTTTTAGGGGGGTGGCGCGGTGCCGCCGCCCCCCCTTCCAACGGAAGGGACACTAAGTACAAGGGTGGGCAGGGGCTGTTTCTTACCTGGCTCCGGTCCCACGACGATCCGGTCCAGGAAGTGCGGCTGCTCCTTCAGTTCGGCCACTGGATGTTTCGCGCGGCTGCTTGGCTTCGCCTCCTCACCGGTGATTGGCCGCCAGAACTGTAGCTCAGGAAAGGCACACAGGCGGCCAATCACCGGCGAGGGGGCGGAGCCGAGCCGAGCCCCCCCGCGAAAATCGAGTGCAGGAGCAGCAGGTAAGTGTTCAGTGTAGAGGTGCTGCTGCAACCACATATGCTGGCTGCAGCAGCACCATACTAGAACAGGGTCAGCAAGTGTAATTGGTGTCAGTGGGAGGAATAGTGCCCCATCATTGGTGTCACTGATACCAATGATGGAGCACTATTCCTCCCACTGACACCAATGATGGGGCACTATTCCTCCCACTGACACCAACGATGGGGCACTATTTCCCCCCCCCCCCCACTGACACCAATGATGGGGCACTATTCCCCCCCCCCCCCCCACACTGACACCAATGATGGGGCACTATTCCCCCCCCCCCCCCCCGACACCAATGATGGGGCACTATTCCACCCCCTACTGACACCAATGATGGGCACTATTCCCCCCACTGATACTAATGATGGGGCACTATTCCTGCCACTAATACCAATGATGGGGCACTATTCCTCCCACTGATACCAATGATGGGGCACTATTCCTGCCACTGATACCAATGATGGGGCACCTATTCCCCCCACTGATATTAATGATGGGGCACTATTCCTGCCACTAATGCCAATGATGGGGCACTATTCCTGCCACTAATACCAATGATGGGGCACTATTCCTCCCACTGACACCGATGATGGGGCACTATTCCTCCCACTGACACTGATGATGGGGCACTATTCCTCCCACTGGTGTGCATTGGAAGAGGGGTAGTCTTATACGGCGAGTATAGCCCAAACACTACATTTTAGCAGGAAAAGTAGGGGGTCGTCTTATACGCCCAGTCGTCTTATACGCCGGCAAATACGGTAACAGTAAAATCTAGCTCTGACTGAATCCACTAGTTTCTGTCTATATCTAAAATATTGAAGACTTTGTGTTTAATATCTTCCTGATTTTTTTTTTTCTTAATGTTTGTATAGGAATACATGAAGACTATCAGTTACCATACTACGATCTTGTTCCATCTGACCCATCAGTAGAGGAGATGAAGAAGGTGGTTTGTGAGCAGAAACTGAGACCAAACATTCCCAATCGATGGCAGAGTTGCGAAGTAAGTAACATTTTGAAAAATGTTAAGCAATTGAAAAATGCAAAAAGATTTGTTGTGTAGATGAAATTCTGTGATGTTGACGTAACCCTGTTACCACACCACATACAAGATAACAAGTTTAAGATAGCCAATAAAGGTCCAGAAAGAACATTTTAGGTTTTTGTGTTTTCTCATCCTTTTTCAACATTTCTCAGAAGTGTCAGAGTCTTTCTAGGCCAGACGCTGTGCAGTCGTGACATCAGGCCCAGAAGGGGAACAAGTCCTGCAGGTCTAGGTCTCATGCAATCTCAAGACTGCCTGCAGTGGTGCACTTACACAATAGTTTGGTGCACAAGTAGTCATATGACAGGTCTGGTTACTGAATTGGATATTTAATCATGAAAGCCCCACTATGAGTGTGTGCACTTGGCAATAACCTCTCTATGCGCAAGATTTTATCACAGGAATGATAGCTCTGCAGCTGCTGTTTTCACTGTGGGCACAATTAAAATGGCGGTGGTCAAAAGAAGTCACTAGTTAACCTGCCAACAGCACAGCATATATAGCCAGGTATATTGCAAAAGAAAGGTATGCAGTGTTATTTCTGGGAAGGTTTCTTTGACTTACACCTATAATTGATTAACAAGGGACTTGTATAAAATGAATTACTGTGGCTGCCAGGGAGACTAGCTATAAAATACACTCCTCAATTCTGTCAACAGGTTTCCAGAGCCTTGCCTAGCCTGGCGCAACTTCCAGCAATCAAACAAAATATGTTGGACATGAGATTTATTTAACTACTTTTGGGCCGCCCACCTGCAATATAATGTAATGCAGATGGGAACCAGCTACAGGTCCAGTGACATACCCATAGGGCACACAATCCTCTCCCCAAACTGCAGCTTGGGGGCTGGATGGTGGCCCTCTGCTTGCTTTTTTCTGGCCATTGGGGCATTATTCCCCCCACCCCCACCAGCAGCAACAATGGGGAAAATTTCCCACCACTAACGCCAATAATGGGGCATTATTTCTCCCACTAACACCAATGATAGGGTACTATTCCTCTTCCTGACACCAATGACGGGGCCCCGTTCCTCCCACGGACGGGGCCCCATTCCTCCCACGGACGGGGCCCCCCCGTTTCTCCCACGGCTAAGAGGCATAGTGAGTATTCTGCAGATCTCATTTGTTGCCAGTAGTTTTTGGAAAACCAAAGTTTTTTGTGCAGCCAAACAGATTTGCCAAGTTGGGTGAAGATGTGGGGGATGCAAGCTCGGGTGGCAGCCGTGGATGTCACTGCTATTCCTAACAGCCAGGAGGGCAGACCATCTGGGAGGGGTGGTGAGGGTAGTGCAGGAAGGCCTAGACCGTTAGTGTTAGTAGGGGATTCTATAATCCGAAGGACTGAGAATAATTTGTCACCAGGATCTCCTTAACCGAATAGTTTGCTTTCTCCCTGGTGCCAGGGTTCGGCATGTGGTGGACCTGGTTGATAAATTACTGGGAGGGACTGGGCATGACCCAGCTGTCTTGGCCCATGTTTGAACCAATGACCGAATACATGGAAGGTGGAGACTCCTTAAGAATCAATTTAAAGAACTAGGCTGCCATTTGAAGGAAATGACCTCCAAGGGGATATTCTCTGAAATATTAACTGTGCCATGCACAACTCAGGAAAGCTGGGGAGGTTAGAGAACTAAATGCATGGCTAAAGACCTGGTGTAAGAGGGAAGAATTTGGGTTTCTAGAGCACTGGGCTGCCTTTTCATTGGGGTGCAACCTATATGCTAGAGATGGTTTGCAACTAAATGGAAGGGGGTCTGCTGTGCTGGGGGAGAGGTTTATGGGGAGGCTGGAGGAGTATTTAAACTAGGATCAAGGGGGGAGGGAGAATTAGAATATAATGGGGTAGACATATCAGACAGGGGTCAGTTCTTATTGGTGGGTTGAATGGGGAAAGATAAAGGGAGGGCTATGGTAAATAAGAAGGTTCCCATGTTACAAACAACCAGTAGAATTGGTACCAGTTGTATAAAAATAACAAATATGCAAAATACGTGTGTACAAGGTGTCAATGAATTAAAGTGTTCACCAATGCCAGAAAGTCTACCAAGCAAAATAGGTGAGTTGGACGCTTTGGTGCTAGAAAAGTAAAGTAAAGCGCTGCGTAAATTGACGGCACTATACAAGTACCTGAAATAAATAAATAAAGGTGTTGGTGTCTGTCTCTGTGAGAAGTGATCTCCGAACAAGTGTGAAAGAGGACCTAGTTGATGGAGAGTGTGATGTAGCTGAAGCATTATGGGTGGAACTGCACATGGGGGGGTGTGTACTACAAAGGAAATTATTGGCGTTTGTTATAGGCCTCCCAGTATTAATGAGGAGGTGGAGACTCCGCTCCTTGCACAGATCGAAAGAGCTGCAAGGGCTGGGACACTGATAATGGGGATTTTAACTACCCGGTAATTGACTGGAGTAATGGTACTGCAGAAACCGTTAAAGGGCAAAAATGTATAAACCTACTACAGGACAATTTTATGGTACAGTTCATAGAGGCCCCAACTAGGAGTGGTGCTCTGCTGGACCTGGTATTCTCAAACCATGCAGTGGTTATTATGAATGTCCATATAAAAGATATAAAACATCTGTGTAGCAGTGACCATAACATGATTTAATTTATTGTTTGCTGTAAACATCAAGCACATACTGGAAAGGCTACAGGGCATTTATACCCCCTTCCTGCCCAGGCCAATTTCCAGCTTTCAGCGCTGTTGCACTTTGAATGACAATTGCGCGGTCATGCAACACTGTACCCATATGAAATTTTATCATTTTTTTGTGACAGAGCTTTATTTTGGTGGCATTTAATCCCCTCTGGGTTTTTTATTTTTTCTTAAACCAGAAAAATTTTGAAAAAAAAAAGTTTTTTTTCTTCGTTTTTGTTATAAAATTTTGTAAATAAGTGATTTTTTTTTTCTCCTCCACTGATGTGTGCTAATGAGGCTGCAGTGATGGGCACTGATAGGCTGCACTGATGAGGAGGCACTGGAAGGTGGCACTGATGGGCATTGACAGGCATCACTGATGGGCACTGAAAGGCAGCACTCATATATGGCACTGTTAGGCGGCACTGACTGGCTCTGTTAGGCAGCACTGACTGGCACTGTTAGGCAGCACTGATGCGTGGCACTGACTGTCACTGATAGGTGGCACTGATTGGCAGCACTGATAGGTGGCACTAAGACAGCTCAGATGGGCACTGAAATGTGGCACTGATGAGCACTGGCAAGTGGCATGGATGAGCACTGAGAGCTGGCACTGATGGACACTGACAGGTGGTGCTACTGGGGCTACACAGATCATCACGGCACACTGATCATCAGTGCTCTGATGATCTGTGTACATGTCCCCTCTGAGGAATGCCAATTACTGGCTCTCCTCTCCTCACGAGCTTTCAGCGTGACAGCTCGTGTGGAGAGAAATGCCGATAACCGGCATTTCCCTGTGCAGATAAGCAGCAGTTTCCTATTTACATGCGATCAGCTGTGATTGGACACAGCTGATCACATGGCCGAGCTGACATCTTTGGCTCTTTCCGTTGATCGGTGATCCGCTGTGTCCAAGGGACACAGCGGACCGCCGATCGCCGCGCTTCGGGAGCCGCGCATGTGCTCTTAGAATGGGAGGACGTCATATGACGTCCTCCCAGAACGAGAGAACCACCTTGCGTCCGTCATATTACTCGATGAACACAACACAGAAATGGGAGTTCTTCAAAAAAGACTGTATGTGAACAAACTGCAAAATATATTCCCATGGGCAACAAGTTTAAAAGACTAAAAATCAAACCTATGTGGCTTATGGCCAAAGTTTAAAAAAAAAAAGCTATAGATAATAAGAAAAAAGGTTTTTTTTTTAAATTAACATGAAGGAACGCTATCATCATTTAAACATTGCTTAGAATATAACGGCCACAAAAATTGAAAAAGAATGACAGATTGCAAAAGATAGCAGGACAAACCCCCCCAAAATTCTTCAAATATATTAATGGTAAAAAGGCCAGGTCAGAGCATGTAGGCCCTTTACAAAATAATCTAGAGTGGGTGACTGGGGACAAAGAAGGCAAAAGTGAATTAAATATCTTCTTCAGCTCTGTGTGTACAAAGCAACATGGGGGAGCTCTTGTCCATAATAGGCATGGTATTGACACAGCTCCAGATGATCCATATCGGCTCACAATTGATATGATCCAGAAATATTTAGACAGAATAAAGGTTAATAAAGCACCTGGACCAGATGGCATACACCCATGGGTCCTTAAAGAATTGAGCTCTGTCATTTCAAAGCCATTGTTTCTCATTTTGAGGGATTCTTTAATGACTGGCATAGTACCACTGGTTTGGCGTAAGGCCAATGTGGTGCCTGTATTTTAAAAGGGTTCAGAATCTTTACCAAGTAATTATAGACCTGTTAGTTTAACATCTATAGGTGGGAAGATACTGAAGAGCTTAATAAAACACCACATAGATGAGTTCTTGCTGGAATAAAATATTTTAAGCAACAGACAGCATGGATTCATGAAAGACAGAAGTTGTCAAACCAATCTGATCTCTTTTTATGAAGAGGTGAGCAAAACCTTGGACAGAGGGGTGGCTGTGGACGTGGTATACTTGGATTTTGCAAAAGCGTTTGACACAGTTCCCCACACACGGATAATGTGTAAGGTAAAGTCTCCATGCTTGGAAAAATCCCTGTGTAAATGGATAGAAAACTGGCTAAAATATTGTATTCCGAGAGTAGTGGTTAATGATTCATACTCTGAATGGTCTAGGGTTGTTAGTGGTGTACCCCAAGGTTCAATGTTGGGACCCTTACTTTTTTAATATATTTATAAATGATATAGGGTCTGAGATTAAAATACCATTTCAGTCTTTTCAGATTACACCAAACCGTGCAGTGGAATAACATCCTTACAGGATGTCTCCAATTTACAAGCCGGCCTCAATGCACTGTTTAATTGGGCAACTATTTGGCAAATGAGGTTTAATGTTGATAAATGTAAGGTTATGCACTTGGGGGCTAAGAATATTCATGCATCCTGCATAATAGGGGAGTACAACTGGGGGAATCAATGGTGGAGAAGGATCTGGGAGTTCTGGTAGATCACAAGCTTAATAATGGCATACAATGCCAAGCTGCGGTTTCTAAAACGAGCAAAATCCTCTGTTGTATTAAAAAATATATAGACTCCAGAGAGAGAGAGAGAGATCATTTTACCCCTGTACAAATCAGTAGTAAGACCTCATCTGAAATATGCAGTTCAATTTTAGGCACCAATTCACAAAAAGAACATTGGGGAACTGAAGAAAGTACAGAGAAGGGCAACCAAACTGATAAGTGGCATGGAGTAGCTCAGCTATGAGGAAAATTGGAGGAATTGAATTTATTCTCTCTTGAGAAGAGATGATTTATGAGGGCTATTATCAACATGTATAAATACATCATTGGTTCATATAGTGAACTCTGTGTAGAGTTATTCACCTTGAGGTCATCACAGAGGACAAGGGGGCACTCTTTACGTCTGGAGGAAAATAAATTTAATCTCCAACCTACCTACCCTTTGCAGCTATAACAGCTTCAACTGTTCTAGGAAGACTGTCCACAAGGTTTAGGAGTGTGTCTATAGGTATTCTATTGGGTTGAATCCAGGACTCTGTGCAGGCCAGGCAAGTTCCTCCATGCTAATCCATGTCTTCATGGACCTTGCTTTGTGCACTGGTGTGCAGTCATGTGTGAATAGAAAGGGGCCGTCCCCAAATTGTTCCCACAATATTGGGAGCATGATATTGTCCAAAATATCTTGTATGCTGATGCCTTAAGAGTTCCCTTCACGGAAACTAAAGGGCCAAGCCCGACTCCTGATAAACAACCTCACACCATAATCCTCCCTCCACCAAACTTTATACTTGGCACAGTGCAGTCAGGCAAGTACCATTCTCCTGGCAACCGCCAAACCCAGACACATCCATCAGGTTGCTGCACAGAGAATTTGTCACTCCATAGAACACGTCTCCACTTCTCTATAGAGTCTGTTGGTGGCGGGCTTTACACCACTGCATTCGACTCTTTGCCATTGCACTTGGTGATGTAAGGCTTGGATACAGCTGCTCGGTCATGGAAACCCATTCCATGAAGCCTACGTACTGTTGTGGCTGAAGGCCACACCAAATTTGGAGGTCTTTACCTATTGACTCTGCAGACAGTTGCCGACTTCTGCGCGCACTGTGCGCTTCAGCTTGCACAGACCCCTCTGTCATTTTACATGGCTTACCACTTCGTGGCTGAGTTGCTGTTGTTCCCAGTTGCTTCCATTTTGTTATAATACCACTAACAGTTGACCGTGGAATATTTAGTAGCAATAAAATTTCACGGATGGACTTATTGCACAGGTGGCGACATCTCACGGTACCCTGCCTAAATTCATTGCTCCTGAGAGCAACTTATTCCTTCACAAATGTTTGTATAAGCAGTCTGTATGCGTAGGTGCTTGATTTTATACACCTTTTGGCCACGGAGGTGATTGAAACACCTGAATCCAATGTTTTGGAGAGGTGTACCAATACTTTTGGCATTATAGTGTATCTCTCTATTTAGGTTTTCTCACCGATTATAACAATATTCTGTTATGATCCCTAGACTGCCAGACAGCATTGAAGGTATTTATGAGTATTAATGCTATGATGTATGGAAGACATATATTGCCCTATGGAGGCTTTGATTATGCCTTGGGGTTTCCTTTGTAGGCAAATACGGTTCTTTTTAATCACTGGAGAGCACTGCCACCCCTTTTTCTCCTGTGTTTGACCTTTGGGGCTGTGGGCTTGTTCCTGTCTGCTCTCTCCATTGTGATACCAACTCTTTATTTCCTTTGCACCTGCTTACATATATGTGAGAGTATATCATTAACACAATCTTCATTCTCTCCGTTTGAATCTGTAAGTGTACTAATATGTATGTATTGAAGTGTTTGTTACATTAATCTAAACTAGAAAAGCTACATTTTCTGGGGAAATTGTGGGAAGTGTTCTTGCCTCCACCAGTAGTCTACAACTGGAGTGGGCGGAGTAACTGGGTGGAGTGGCTTGAGTAACTGTTGTGTGGTTGGAGTGGCTGGAGTAACTGTGAAAAGTTTGGACTGGGCAGAGTAACTTTATGGAGTGGGCAGAGTAACTGTGTGGAGTGTTTGGAGTGAGTAATGATAGTAAACCTTACACTAACCAATTGATTGATCAAATTTAAAAAGTGCACATGGCAAGCTTGATAGAGTGAGAAATACATTTCAACTTTTAATTATTTATATAGCACATCAAACGGTTGTAGTTTAAAAACTATAAATCCTACACCGAAGAGCTTTATATTGTGAGAATCACAAGACCCAGACCTACATTTTGATGCATAGTATGTCTCTGAAATATTAAAAATGAAGGCACAGTCGCGGTTTAGAAATTGCCCTTCAAATTTGAGGTGGCTAGAGTGGAGTTTCAATGAATGTCAATGGGCGGCGTGAGTTGCAAACAAATGGTCATATTGTGAAAACTATCAGGACTATGGCTTAGCCATGGACATTTTTAGTGGCAGCAGGGATAGCTGAACGTTTTGATATAAGATTTGTGTAGGTGGGCTTGAAAATGAGGGAGTGATGGCAGTTTAGAAATCATGTCCTGATTTTTCAGCTCACACTCTAGCTTTTGTCAGCTCACACTCTAGCTTTGAACTTTCCGCCATTCATTCCTATGGGACCAATTTCACCACAAAAACGCTGATATTTTGTGAACCATTCGGCGAAACGTTCCACAAAGTAATAGCACACCAATCGGGAACAATCCGCACGTTTCGGTATATTACTGTCGTTTCGGTATATTACTGTCTATGTAGTGTAAAAACTGTGGGAGGAGTTAGGGTGGTAAATTTGGCTATAATAATAATATATATGTGAGATAACAGTAAGTGGTCTTGCCATGCAAGAACACTTAATGATTGAAATTGTATACTGTATTATCTGGCAGCTTTCTGTGATTTTAGCAACTAGTCACAACCGCAACCCCTGAACCCATAAAGAACACACATTGGCACATTGTTTGATTTGTGGAAAGCAATACACTGTATCCTGTATCTATTTAAGAGGGGAAGTGCATTTTGGGGGTTGTGATACTGAGGATAGATATGAGGTTCTGTTGTCTCTGCATGCTTTGATCTTACCATTTTTTGTTGGGAATGGAATATACCCCACTCATTTTTAATCAATTATATAATAAAATTGATAAATGTAACGTAAAGAGTGGTTATTGTTCTGATAGAAGGCATCAGCACCTTTTTAAAATCCCAATTTTTTATAGTCTCTTTGATTGGTTTTTCATATATAGGGTGGCTGAATTACCAACTGGACCTATTACTATCTCTTGTGAATTCCTCTAGTGACAATACCTCAACACATTCCAGATAATTCAATTTAGTTCAGAAGTGTCTACCACAGCCTGCCAGGATTGTTTTGTGCCTGTTAAGTTGGCAGAGAAACTAACTTGTGCATAAAAATCACTTGTGCAATCATCCGATATTACTCGAAGGGACAAGCACGAAAAATGTCATACTATACCAGATCATACAATTTTCGTTTTTAACCAGTACAATTTTCGTCCGAAAATACAATACAAATACATTGCATCACTTCTGAAATTTTACGCTGTCATGCAAAAATTTTCGGAACTTTAGCAAACTTCATTTTTGACATGAGACTAGCATGCAAAAAAAAAAACAGACATTCGTCTGATATTCTCTGTGGGTATTTGGGTCTGTTCCTACCGGTTTTCCACAGGGTGGGGTGATGTCCTGCAGTGTGTGTGTGTTTTGTGTTTTTTTTACCTACATCTGACTGCCCAAATACTGGCATAGATGTGTAGTGGATTCTAGTGTGGGAGTTTTTCCCAAAATCGGAAGGATAACCACTTTCGTTGGTCAGGAAAATATGACTGAACTTTTGGTAGCAAGTGTCTCTGGGCTGTTGGCTCATGTCCCTAGTGCTGTCTCATCCACTTTGATGAAAAATTATGACAAGTGTGAGCCTTTCATTTGAGGTATCCTGAGTTTTTTGCAAGCGCATGGTCCTTGTATCCAAGAGAGAGCCCAGCTTCCTATCAATATCCTGTAACTTTGTGCGATCAGCTCATCTTCACTGGACAGCTCAACTTACATTAGGTACATTTGGTTTTGGCTCTCCCAGCGGTACATATCAGGTGTTAAAAAAAGTAGAAAAAAAGGGCATACTTTCTAGACCACTTATAAGACCAGGATCCCGAGGAATGGCCTTTACACCAAGAGGTGTTTCTGCCTCAGATGGGGGATGCTAGACATCTCTTGGCTTCCCATTCCAACAAGATACTTGAAAGATTTGTTGCAAGGACAAAGGATGCCACTGACCGGTGTGATGGATGTCTTGGTAATCCATATCTTCTTTTATTATTTTTTTTTTTTTATACAAATTATATATACAGTGAAGGAAAGAAGTATTTGATCCCCTGCTGATTTTGAATGTTTGCTCACTCAGAAAAAAAATGATCAGTCTAAAAATTGAATGGTAGGTGTATTGTAACACTGAGAGACAGAATAGCAACAAAAAAATTCAAAAGAAATGCATGCCAAACAAATTATGCACTGATTTGCATGTTCATGAGGGAAATAAGTATTTGATCCCCTATCATTCAGCAGGATTTCTGGCTACCAGGTGTCTTTCATACAGGTAACAAGCTGAGATTAGAAGCAGTCTCTTAAAAGGGGGACTGCTGCTAATCTCATTTTGTTATCTGTATAAAAGACACCTGTCCACAGGAGCAATCAAACCATCAGATACCAAACTCTCCACCATGGCAAAGACCAAAGAGCTGTCCAAGGATGTCAGGGACAAGCTTGTAGACCTACACAAGGCTGGACTGTGCTACCAAACTATCGCTAAGCAGCTTGGTGAGAAGGTGACAACAGTTGGTGTAATCATTCACAAATGGAAGAAACACAAAACAACTGTCAGTCTCCCTAGGTCTGGTGCATCATGCAAGATCTCACCTCATGGAGTGTCAATGATCATGAGAACAGTGAGGAATCATCCCAGAACTACACGTGAGGATCTTGTCAATGATCTGCAGGCAGCTGGGACCACAGTCACCAAGAAAACAATTGGTAACACACTACGCTGACAAGTATTGAAATCCTGCAGTGCCCGCAAGGTTCCTCTGCTTAAAGCACATGTCCAGGCCCGTCTGAAGTTTGCCACTGAACATCTGAATGATGCAGAGGAGGACTGGTTGAAAGTGTTGTGGTCAGATGAGACCAAAATTGAGCTCTTTGGCATTAACTCAACTCGCCGTGTTTGGAGGAGGAGGAGGAATGCTGCCTATGACCCCAAGAACACCATCCCAACTGTCAAACGTGGTGGAAACATTCAGTTTTGGGGGTGTTTTTCTGCTAAAGGGACAGGACAACTGCAACGCATCAAAGGGATGATGGACAGGGCAATGTACCGTCAAATCTTGGGTGAGGACCTTCAGCCAGGGCATTGAAAATGAGTCATGGATGGGTGTTCTAGCATGACAATGATCCAAAACACACGGCCAAGGCAACAAAGGAGTGGTTCAAGAAGAAGCACATTAACGTCCTGGAGTGGCCTAACCAGATGTGTGCAAACCTGGTGGCCAACTACAGGAAATGTTTGACCTGTAATTGCCAACAAGGGATTTGCCACCAAGTACTAAATCCCGTTTTGTGAAGGGGATCAAATACTTATTTTCGTCATAAACATGCAAATCAGTTCATAATTTGTAAGCCATACATTTCTTTTGAATTTTTTACTGCTGTTCTGTCTCTGTGTTACAATACACCTACGTGTGTGTGTGTGTGTGTGTGCGTGTGTGCGTGTGTGCGTGTGTGCGTGTGCGTGTGTGCGTATATACAGGTGAAACTCAAAAAATTTGAATATCATGCAAAAGTTCATTTATTTCAGTAATGCAACTTAAAAGTTGAATTTAATATATGAGACTCATTACATGCAAAGCAAGATAGTTCAAGCTGTGATTTGTCATAATAGTGATGATTATGGCTTACAGCTCATAAAAACCCCAAAGCCACAATCTCAGAAAATTAGAATATTGTGAAAAGGTGCAATATTCTCGGCTCAAAGTGTCCCATTCTAATCAGCTAATTAAGCCATATCACCTGCAAAGGGTTCCTGAGCCTTTAAATGGTCTCTCAGTCTAGTTCAGTAGGAATCACAATCAGGGAAAGACTGCTGACCTGATAGTTGTGCAGAAAACCATTAAAGACACCCTCCACAAGGAGGGAAAGCCTCAAAAGGTAATGGCAAAAGAAGTTGGATGTTCCCAAAGTGCTGTATCAAAGCACATTAATAGAAAGATATGTGGAAGGGAAAAGTGTGGAAGAAAAAGGTGCACAAGCAGCAGGGATGACCACAGCCTGGAGAGGGTTGTCCGGAA